GAATCGGTTTTCTGTTAGGAAACCCTAAACCTATCATTGTTAATTTGTGATCAGTTAATGCAGAATCACAGACTATACCAATTGATGGTTTTGTAGAATTAGTAAAGATGTGATCCAAACAAGCGTTGTTTCTCGTGGGTATGGTTATGGCTGGCATAAGTCCATGGCTAGCCATTAAACACAGATAATCAGATAGATGAGAGTTTAATTCGTCAGGTAGGAGGTTAATATTAATGTCACCGGCTATAATAATAGGAAATTTAGTGTTTGAATGAATCGTAGAATCAAGTGATTGTATGAAACGGTCCGGATTATTGAACGAAGGAGATCGATAAATCCCAAGAAGTGTAAGTGTATTTTCTATTGTTATTTGCAGACAATTTGCGTCATCTAATGTTGGTTCCGATACTAAAACATTATATGCATCTTTTATGTACGCAACAACACCGCCATTTTTATTTATAAATTTATTAGTACGAAACGATTTGTAGTCTGGAATTTGTGGTATGACTGTCCCTTCATTCCATAAACACTCAGACAAAATAATAGCGTCAAATTGTACATTAATTCTCGAGAGAACCACTAGGAAGTCAGTAAAATTATGATGTATACTTCTTATGTTACAGCCTAGTAATGTGAAGTTAGAGTAAGACTGTAATTTGTTTGAGTTTCAGATCAGGAATTGAGTGACATGTTATAGAGAATGTTTTACTTATATCCTCTTGTACGTCTATGGTGGTCGCTTGGACCATAAATGGGAAATATAAATATTATTACTTCCATGTATAAAGTCACTCGTGATAAAAGTTGTGAGTAAACAGTTCTGTCAACAGTTAGGAGAGCCTGAGAAAGAAGAGCTTGTTTTACGTGTAATATTTTTTGTGTTTGTTTGTTTTGTTTAGTTTTTTTGTAACAATGTATTAGAAGTGTAATATAGAAGATAGTTACATATTTAATTTGATGTAGTAGTTTATGCATGTGATAGTGTAATATGAGTGTATGTATTGTGTTTTTGTATATATGTATGTTAATAGGTACGCTAATTAATATACAAATACGTAGTAAATACCACAGAAAGTTAATTTTGTACAACTTATAAAATTGGAATGTAGATCTTAAGACTAGAGTTAAAAATATACAAACTTCACAACAAAATGAGAAATAAAAAATAACATTAAGAAAGCTAATGCAGCATTTGTTGATTGGTGCTACCGACTGGAGCTGTGGCAGCCAATTCCTCAGGACCGAGATGACGCTCCAAGTCAGAGGCGTTCCGTATCGTGATGGAAGGACTTCCTTCCCGTCTACGGATGTGGATGTAACCCTGCTTAACCCAACAATACTTGTAACCGGCCTCTTTAGCTCGTGTTATTGTCTCTCGAAATAACCACCGGTTATGTTTCGTTAGGTGTTCATTGAAATATAGTTTTCTGGTGGGGCCCTGTACTTCGATATCAGAAGTAGTGAGGTCACGCCTGGTCTTAGAGGCTCTAAGGAATTTATCTCGTTTGTTTTTGCGTAGGAAACGTATAATTAGTGGGCGCGGGGGCTTATTTTCTAACGTCAGAAGCTTCTGCTGTCTTAATCCTGCTCGGCTAATGCAATCGATGTCCTCCGATACCAAACTCACCCCGATTTTGCTGGCGATAACTAGTATTACATGCTCAAGACTTTCATTTTGATTTTCATTGAGTCCTATAATCTCTAACTCATTTCGAATAGCGGATTGACCCTGAGAATTGATCTGATCCTGGAGAGAGGATATAGTCGCAGTAAGCTCGGCCACTTTTAATCCATTTGTTTTAACCTCTTGAATAGGTTTTTCAGCACTTACCATGCGAGTTTCAAGTGATTCCAGTTTTGTAGTGCACTTGAGAAGGCAGGCCAATAGATTTTCCATAATTCCCTTAATACTGTTGGACTCCTCTCGCAATAATCTTATTTCCGAGGTAAGCGAAACAAGGTTATTATTAATAGAAGTTACTGTGGGAGCCTAGTTAATCTCAACATTTGGTGATAAGGTGGCCTTCCATTTTGTTGGGCGAGCTGTGATGTTATTAGAAAAACCCGTTGGGGATGCACAAATTGGAGTGTTTGAATTGCCAAGATTTGGCTCCTTACATAGACAGTTAGGGCAAAGCCAGCTCGCTAAATATTCGTCAGAATAAGAGTTGTACTCCTGTGCCGATACATTAACACACAATATATGATAACCTGTTTCGCATCTGTAACATTTCATAAACAAAGATGTAGTATCCATATTAGCTAAACAACCGCCGCAGTTTACACTCGCCATTATAATACTTCTAATTATAATAAAAAAGAGCGCAAGCGTGAGGTAAGCAATATCAACAAAGTCGCACAAGAAAATATTTAGTTCACTTCGGCGAAAGTGGGTGACCGCGCTGGGCCTATTTAAAAATATTACGGTTGTGTTTAAGCAAGCGATACAGCTATATCTCAATGGTCAATTGCGATGTTTTGTGCGAGAACGCCCGCTATTGGTTGTAGGCCGAAGCAATACTCCGTCGTTGTAGGTAGGAGTGATGTCACAAGACGTGCTGAGATGATTCATAAAGCAGTAGCAATTAACACTTACTTTGTCCGTTGTAAGAAATTAGTTGATTTAATTTGCTGATTTTTAAGAGTTGTAGATGACACTTATGTCACAATCTATTGAAAACACTTGTATTGATAGTTTGGTGTATATTTATCACTTAATAATTGACTTTAATCGAGTAAAACGAATTAAATACAACTTTGGGACAGTGTACGCAACCTCCGCGGTCGACGTTGCCGAGCGCTCTCCGAACTGTACTACCAGATTTAAATAAAGGTATTACTTTACTGTGCTTCATTAAATCAGGAAACACACCAGATTCGATACTAGTATTAAAAATAATGGCTAAATGAGGCGCGATTGTATCTATTATAGACGCAATAACTTTAACGGAAATCCCCCACAGATCCGCAGTTTTCTTAACATCAATAGTTTTAAAATATTTTACAATATCTTTTGATGACACTTTATGAAATGTAAAATTCTTTGTACACACATTAACATTTTGTTTAAGTAATGATTCGGCGACGGCAGGAGAAGAATTCAGAGACTTAGTGGTCAAGATCGGAATATCAGTAAAATATTTCTCAAAAACCATTGCTACGTCCTGATCTGATACAGTTAATTTGTTGTTAACACTTAACTGGTAATTTGAATTGCGAGAGTTGATCTTACCAGTTTCGCTATTAATTATACTCCATGTCATTTTAATTTTATTGGAAGCCGTCTTAATTTTGTTGCTCAAATGCAAAGACTTGGCTATGGAGCACTCTTTTAAATATTTTTGAATATTTTTTTACATATTCCCTAAATTCGACGCTATGATTATATGACCTTTCATGGTAAAGATCATATAACCTATGCCTGCTCTTATGGACTCCTACTGTCGCCCATTCATTGAATGACTTCCGACTGTTCAAGGAGAATATTTTAGAAGTAAAAGTATTATTAAATTCATTGCAAATAAGCTTAAATAATGTTCCATACAAAAAATTAGGGTCATTTTGGTATGAAAGTGATGGAAGTTTTTCACTATGTTACTTCTAAATTTCTCCAAGCGATAATACGGTACGGTAATGAAACCAGTTGTTCACAGTAATCCTGTAAGCCTAATGGGAGTAGCTCTTAAGGATCGGTAGTATTTTTGGATGTTCCACAGGGCCTAATTCGTGGCGTCTTCCTGTTCTTAGTTTATGTTAATGACTAACCTTACTTCGTAGAGAATAACCATGATATAGTTTTATTTCCTGATGATACTTCGTTATAAGACTTTATTAAAACATGTTGAAATGAACAATGTTATAAAAAAGTATATACACTAGTTTTAAATAAACAATTTGCGTTTAAGCTGTAATAAAACGAAATTAATTAAACTTACACCAATTAATGTTAATCAGGTAAATACCAGTGTACTTTTAAATTGGTAAAAGTTGAGTCTTCTCAGATGCACTGTTGGCGTTGATGTGAAGCTTAAAAGCACCCTTATATAACTAAACTAAGATTGAGGCACATATATGTTTTGAAACTAATAGATTTATTTATTTAAGTTATTTCCATACCGTAATATTATATAAAATCTTGCTATAGGGTAATATGACTAACATTGAAACCACCTTTGTTTTGGAGAAGACAGCCGTAAGAGAAATTTATAACTATGGTCCGAAGGAATTCTTTAGAGAAAATTAAAAGAAATAAGTATATTAACTTCGATCTCCTTGTATAATTGCAAAAATTAAATGAATGTACACACAATTAAAAAAGATTTATTAAAAATAATGATGTATATTTGTAAATATACATCATTATATCATCATATCATTCGCATTCGCACATCATTGCGTTTACTTGTGCGCACTAGTTTGACGTTACCTATACTTACTGTTACTTATACGTGTATAATATAATACCCGCACTCACTAAAAATTAAAAAATGGTGCAAAAGTGTACATCTTGTGCTAAAAATATCACCAAAAAAACTCCAGGTCTAGTGTGCAGTAGATGTGAAAAGTCAGTTCATGCTACACCAGTGTGCTCGAAGCTCAGTAACAAACAGCTGACTACCCTTCGCAACGCCACTGGACTCGAGTGGAGTTGTGAAGAATGTATCAACAACACGTCAAGGAGATCCTCTTATATGATAACTATGGATGACGATACTGACGAAGAAGAATTACCTCCTAGCTTGAATAATAGGTCGTCAGATAATTACAATAAGTTGATCAATGATATTAGTACCCAAATGCATAGAATTCTCAAAAAAGAATTGGATGGAGTCAAGAGCTCATTGGAGTTTCTAGGACATCAAGTGGAAGCAATTGAAGAATCAATAAAGAATCAAGATGCAAGAATAAAGAAGTTGGAAACCAAAAGTAATGATTCTCATAATAAAAACAAACATTTTGAACTCCAAATTGCAGCCATCGAACAAGAAATACAAGAAATGGAGCAGCGGACGCTTTCATGTTCTCTAGAAATATCAGGTATTACTTCTAACGTTAAAGCAAATGAGGTCACTATAACTCAAGAGATTGCGAAGAAGCTCGATCTCGACACTGGCTCAATAGTTTGTGCACGACGACTTCCGACCCGCAGGGAAAATCCAGGCAACATTATAGTGGAATTGAGATCTAAAGACGCCCGGGACCAGTGGATAGAAGCGGGTAAAAAAGCTCAACTTACCCTAAGCGTATTTGGTAAAAACGTACCGAGTGAACAAGCTGGAATAAGAATCTTTATTCGAGAAGCACTATCTCCCTACATGAAGACCCTATATTACAACGCCAGGAATAGTCTCAAGACTTCGCATAAATATGTATGGTGCAAAAATGGATTGATCTACTGCCGTAAAACAGACGACAGTAAAGTGCTTATTATCCGTTCAAACCAAGATATATCGAAACTCTTAGAATAATTAACATAGTTAAGTTTTATTTTTCTTCTTATATTAGTATACAAAACGAATTTTTTTTTTCTCATTGTAATATGAACTTAGATTTACCTAAGCCTAACGAATATCATAATTGTTTAAATATAAACTATTTTGTAAAACAAATATCTACCAACATTCATCTACTATGTATGCATGTCAATATTAGATCACTGATAAAAAACTTCTCTAAGCTATTGCACATTATCAACACAAGTACCCACCCAATAGATATGATTGCAATTTCAGAGGCTGGCATTTCCGACAGTATTTGTAATTTGTTTTATATTCCTGGTTATGTAATGCATACACAGCTGAGAACGAATAAAAGGGGAGGTGGAGTTGTTTTATTTGTTAAAAAATACCTAAAATTTACCATTCATAACATTAAAACATTTACTTTTGAAAGCATTACTGGAACAATTAAAACGGCTTCGAACCTCTCTGTTGACGTGTGCTTAGTTTATAGACCATCTTCTAGTAGTAAAAGTTATTTTATCACTGAGCTAAACGAAATGCTAAAAACTTATTTTTTATTGGGGAATGCAATCATACTTGGGGATATGAAAATCGACTTAAAAACTGTAAATAGCAGCCGAGATGGTTACATAGATATGCTATCCGAGCACGGCTACAGCTGTGGTATTACAGATTATACCCGAATTGAGCGAAAATTAGACCAAATTAATATGTCGTGTATAGATCACATATTTGTTAAATACCACCAAACCGAGCCGTGCACGGCCGCACTCGATACTGTACTAGCCGACCACAGAGTCACAATTATTGCATTATGTTATAGTCACTCGATGCGATCCGCACACATGCATAATATTAGTGATTGTTGCCCCGAACCGGTCGCCTGCACTCGTCGCGCATACTATGATTCCGATATTGTTTATAATGAATTGAAAGATGTGGACTGGTCATGTACAGGTACGATGAAATGTCCACATGAAATTTACAGTTATATAAAAGAAAAATTCACATTAGCATATAATAAAGCCATTAAATACTATAATAAAATCAAATTTACTAAATCAAATATGCCTTGGATAAATAAAAATATAAATAATTTAAGTCGTGAAAGAGATATAGCTTTTCGCCAATGGAGAAGAGATCCTAATAACAATATTTTGTCTAGAAATTATAAAAAAATACGTAATAAATTAAATAAAGTTATTGAGTATTATAGAAATACTTATTTGAGGAAATTAATTAATGAAAATTATAGAAATCCTAGGAAACTTTGGCAAATTATTAATGCATTATATGGTAGAAGTAGTCCATCAATAGACGGATTGATATTATCTGGTTTTTCAGCACAAAAATTGTCTCCACAGGCTATTGCTGATAAGTTTGCGAGTGAGTTTAAAGATGCCGTTAAGAAAATAATCCCTAGTTGCCATACGAATTTATTAAAATGTAGTTCATATACAAAGCCTGCCCAAGTTAGTATGCGCTTCAAAAAAGCCACCCCTAAAAACATTTTTCATTTAATTAAGAACCTTAATGCAAGGAAAGCTCCAGGTTTAGACGGGATTAATGTATTAGATATCAAAAAGATAGGTGACAAATTATGCACCGCCATCGCTAACCTTATAAACGCAAGCTTTTTAGTTAGTAGATACCCGGAAGGATTAAAGACTGGTTGTGTGCGACCTATCTTTAAAATGGGTTCTAAAGGAGTTGTAGCAAATTACCGGCCCATAACTTTGTTACCCGCTATCGACAAAATAGTGGAGAAATATATATGTGAACAGATGCATAACTTTTATAAGCTAAATAATATACTTAGTACGAACCAATATGGGTTCCAAGCCGGTAATAGCACTACAACGTTGCTGCGAACATTTAAGGATGAGATCAATAGTTATTTAAACGAAAAAGTTCACGTCTTAGTAGTATTTATTGATTTCTCCCGCGCTTTTGATACGCTTGATCATAAAAAACTAACAACTAAGCTAGAAAATACCGGAATCCGAGGTGTAATACTAAACTGGTGCCAAGACTATCTGAAAGACAGAACTTATAGAGTAAAAATAGATGAATGCCTAAGTAAGCCCGTATCGGTCTCGACAGGTACGGCCCAGGGGTCGGTGATCGGTCCACTGCACTTTCTGGCTTATGTTAACGATATGACTAATGTACTTAAATACTGTACATCTTATCAATTCGCAGATGACACGTGTATCATATCTGCTGCAAAAGATCCACAAGTAGCATTAAATAATTTACAATACGACTTCAACAACTTAAATAAATGGTGTCATGACTCAGGCCTAGTGTTGAATGCAGCTAAAACTAAGATGCTACACATAAGATCTCCTTATATTAGAGAGAAAAGTACATCGTACAATCTTATAGCTCATGATCACAGTTGCCTTCATAATTCGAATTACATTCACTGTAGGTGTCCACCAATTAAAATAGTAGGTTCTCACGTGTACCTTGGATTAGTAATTGATAGTGCATTTAACTGGGCCCCCCAAGTTGAGCGAGTATGTGACAAATTACGAGCGTTCCTCGCAAACTTAAGAATCATAAAAAACAAATGACTTTTAGGACACGATTAGCTTTATATAACGCGTTTGCTAACTCTATAGTCAACTATGGCCTATCCAGTTATGGGCGAACTTTCAAGTCATATCTGGATAGGATATATAATCTACAAATAAGAATATTAAAACAAGTGGTCTCACCTAACGTAAAAAAACAATTTTCATCAAATGAAATAAAATTATTTAAATATTGCAACGTACTACCCGTACACGACCAGTTCATACTCCAATTTCTGAAGGAAGATTTTTTTAATAATTCCATTAAAATAAAAGTGGAACATAATAAGGGTACTCGGGCGATCACTCGCGGCAAGTTAGTTACGACAGCCGCGCGGAACACTTACGGCAGACGCACTGCTGTATACTTGATTCCTAGAATCATAAATAAATTGGATCCTGAGTTTAGGAATTCTATTAATGAAAAAAAATTTAAAAAACAAACTAAAGATCTTTCTAGTGAGTTTTTTTTTTTTTTTTTTTTTTTTTTTATAGGAGAGGGGGCAAACGAGCATGCGGCTCACCTGATGGTAAGTGACTACCGCCGCCCATGAACAACCGCAACACCAGGGGAATTGCAGATGCGTTGCCGGCCTTTTAAAAAGGAGTAGGCTCTTTTCTTGAAGGTCCCTAAGTCGTATCGGTCCGGAAAAATCCCTGGTGGTAAACTATTCCACAAGGAAGTTGTGCGAGGAAGAAAACATCTTCTAAATCGCACAGTGGTGGACCGCCAATCATCCAGATGGTGTGGATGGTATCGGGAGTTCTGCCGCGATGTGCGTTCGTGAAATTTGGCGGCTGGGATTAATCCGAACAATTCCTCAGAGCACTCCCCATGGTAGATGCGAAAGAAAATGCAAAGAGATGCAACATCTCTTCGCAGTGCCAATGAATCGAGCCGATCGGAAAGGGCTCGGTCGTCGACGATTCGAGCCGCTCTGCGCTGGATGCGGTCAAGTGGAAGGAGCTGGCACTGGGGAGCCCCTGCCCAGAGATGGGAACAGTATTCCATGTGAGGCCGAACCTGCGCCTTGTAAAGTTGCAGGCGGTGTGCCGGCATGAAATACTGTCCCGCTCTGCTGAGCACGCCAAGCTTTTTAGAGGCCAATTTGGCCTTCTCTTCCAAGTGACCACGAAACTGCACGTCACTCGATATGTCGACTCCGAGGATACCGATACTGGCTGAGGCAAGAAGGGGAGTGCCTTGAAACTGAGGAGATACGACAAAGGGGTTCTTTTTAGCGGTAAACGCGCAAACTTGTGTCTTCTGAGGATTAAACTGGACTAGATTTAGTCGCCCCCAATCCGAGACTTTGTCCAGCAAAGACTCGACTTCAGACACAAGTTTGTTCCGGTACTCGGCGACGTTTTCCCGAGAAATATTGGCCCGGCCGGTGTATAGAGCATCACCAGTGCTGTCATCCGCATAGCAATGAATGTTACCAGTTAGCAACATATCATTGATATGCAGAAGAAACAGCGTTGGTGATAGCACACAGCCTTGTGGAACACCAGCGTTAATAGGCTTGTAGTCAGAACATGCACCGTCTACAACGACCTTGATGCTCCGATCTGCAAGAAAGCTGGTGATCCAATTGCACAATTTCTCGGGAAGCCCATAGGAAGGCAGCTTTGAAAGAAGAGCTTTGTGCCAAGCCCGATCAAAGGCCTTCGCAATGTCCAGACTAACGGCCAACGCCTCCCCCTTGGACTCTACTGCCTCCGCCCATCTATGGGTCAGGTAGACAAGAAGATCACCAGCTGATCGACACCGACGAAAACCGTATTGGCGGTCACTAATCAGCTGGTGATCCTCAAGGTACCGGATGAGCTGGCAGTTAATAATGGATTCCATTATTTTGGAGAACAAGGAGGTGATCGCGATAGGCCTATAGTTGGACGGGTCTGAGCGGTCGCCTTTTTTAGGGATCGGGTGGACAAAAGCTGTCTTCCATGAATTCGGGACTACGCCTTGGGAGTAGGAGTACCGGAAAAGACGCGTTAGGACCGGTGCCAACTCCGGAGCACACGTCCTCAGCACAATTGGGGGGATTCCGTCAGGCCCACTCGACTTCTGGATGTCCAGGGAGAGCAGTGCTTTGCGAACCGAGCGCTGTGAGAACAGCACATCCGGCATGGAGCACTCACACCGCGGGATGGTCGGCGGTGTTTTCCCCCCGTCATCAAGAGTCGAGTTGGACGCAAAAAGGGAGCCTAAAAGGTCGGCTTTGTCTTTTGCGTCATGGGCCAGTGAGTCATCCTCCCTGTGCAGAGATGGTAGTGATGGCTTACAGAAATTCCCTTGGACAGCCTTGGCGAGAGACCAGAATGCACGGGTTCCCGAAGGAAGGCGAACTAGTCTCTCGCCAATTCTGCCTATGTGCTCTGACTTTGCCTTGGCAATAACTCTTTTGAAGGACCTGGAGG